GTGACTGGGCCACTTCTCCTCCTCCTTTGTATCAAAAACAAAAACAAAAAAACCATAAACTTTTTGAATAGGCAAGACGTTCATCAGACAAGCCCCAGAAGGGATAAAGTAGTTGTCAGTGAGGACTTCCACCCCACCCTGTCCCCAGACCCCCATGTCTCCGCCCCAGAGACACCGACGTCCTTCATTCGCTGGGTCTCCTGGTCTGTGCGTTGCTGGACTCCTTGGAAAAGGAGATGTACGTCTGCGATGCGTCGATAAACGAGTGTGGGGGGGCTTCTGTGTTCGCTGGGAGGGGGCACGGGACGGGGAGCCGGGGTCTCGGCGCACCCCACTTCCTGCCGCACAGAGAGCTCAGCACTGCAGGGCTCCAGGCCGCAGCACCGGGACAGGCCGGCCTTGGTGTGGCTGCTCCGTGGGCCCAAGTGCCTGCCTCCCTCTGCGTGTGGAAACCCTGAGCTCAGATCCCAGATCGCCCACCGTCCAGGTGAGAAGCCAGGAGCCTTCCTGCAGCCCTGGTTTCCTGCCGTGTGAAATGGGAACGAGCTTCTGCTTGGAGGGTCTGGAGCCGATCAGAGGCCCGGACGCAGCAGCTCTGCTGGCGCCTCCTGAAGGCCCGCCCGGCTGCCTTCACCGCGCTCACGCCGCCTTCACCGCGCTCACGCTGCCGCCGCCGCCACGCTCACGCCGCCGCCGCCTCCACGCAGCCCGCCCTGGGCTGCAGGAATCGAGGGGCGTCCATCTGTCTTTCTCTCTCTTGGCAGGAGGGGTGGTGGTTCAAATTAAATTTTCGTTTCATCCTTTGTAGCCTTCTGCACAGTAAATCATCACATTTCTACGTCCGGCGGCGTGACTTGTGAGCAAGGCTTGTGTTTCTGGCTCGCGTGGGCGGTGGGTACTCAGCCCTTAGGTCTGGCCTCTCGCCCTGCTCCTCAGCTGAGTCATCTCGGGTCTGGGCAGGACTTCACGCTGGAGGACACGACGCACTGCCGCGCACCAGGCTCACCACGTTAGCTCGCTGCCCACCAGGCCCCTTCACACACACGCACACGTGTGCGCACACACGCCCACTCATAGACACACGTGTGCGTGCGCACACCATTGTTGGGGGACCGTTTGAGAGTAAGTGGCAGACATGCCCTCTTATCCCTAAATGTTCTGAAACAGGAAATTGAGCATCGCTACACCTGCGCCATTTAATCCACAGGCCACGCAGTTTCGCCACAGCCCCTCGGATGTTCTGAGTCCAGATCCCCACGGCGCCGAGTGGCCGCGTCTCCTTTCCCTGGAGCAGTTCCTCGGCCGCTCTTGACCTTGACATTGTCGGAGAGTCCAGGCCAGTTGCTTTGCAGAGTGGGTTGGGTTCTTCACAGGGGAAGTGCAGACCGAGCCACGTGTTTCACTGTGTGCCCTGCAGTCCTGGGTGGTCCGTGGCGGCTGCTGGCCACAGCCGCATCTTGTCTGTGAGCCACTGGAGGCACAGGAGGTCAAACAGTTGGTCTGTGGTCGCATTCCCAGGGTATGGCAGAGATGGGGTTCAAACCCAGGACTGTCTAACCTGCCTGACCCCCAGTAGAAACGACAGCGGCGAGACCCCGAGAATCACGTGTTAATCCGGCACTTTCCGTGAGCTCGGCGCCATGCTCAGCCTTCTGCAGGCCCTGCTGGGCACCCTCGCCCCATTCCTGGAGGTAACTGTCTGACCAGCCCTGATGCACACACGAGGCTCAGAGAGGTTAAGGAGACTGCTGACCGACGGGACCAGCCCTGCCCGGGCAGCTGGCGAGCTGCGTTGGCTCGAGCTGCCCGTGCACTAGGCCTGCTGGATCTCACAGTCGGGCGAACCTGGGAGCCGGGCCTGGCCGGTCCTCCAGGGTTCATGCCTTTTCCAGGGCCTTCTCGAGGGGAGCGAACACATTCCAAGACCGGGGCTGTTTCGGGGTCTCCCTTGGGGTCTGCTCCTGTAGGGGCCTCTGCCCACCTCTGTGGGCTGTTTGCGGCAATCAGATGGTGTTCTGATGATTTCCAGATGGAGAATCCCCGTCTGGTCATTCATTGAACACCTGGCTCAGGGTCTTCCGCCGAGCAGCCCGGGCCCCTGCCTGGGTAGGTGGCCCTGGCTGCGGACAGTGCCCACTGGCCCCACTGCCTAGGCGGCATTTAGGTGGCATTCAAGGCGGCTTTGCTCGAGGTGGTGATGGGGGTTCATTACTCAGCCTGTATGTCACAGTCTGCCCTCCCCTTCTCGGAGAAATGAGGGCATCACCACCCTACCTTTTGGGTCGTGGAGAGGAGGAGAGCAAGGGAGAGTCCTGAACATAATGGCCAAGGGACCCCTGTCTGGGCCCCCAAATGCCTCTTCCTTCCTGGGGTCTTAGGGGTCCTGGGCCTGCCTGCCCCAGGCACTCAGGCCTCTCATTCATGAGAACACGGCATTGGAAGTGTGGTCAGCATCCCGAGAAAGCCTGCCGGCCCTTGGTTCAGTGCAGGGGCAGGTGTGTCTGTCAGCCACGGAGCAGGTGACCGTCCTATCCTGGGGACAGTGTGTCAGGCAGGAGGGTCTGGAGCAGCAGCCTCTGGCCTTCAGACTCAGGCCGGACTCCGGCCAAGTGCCCGCCCTGCCCTGCTCCCTCTTCTGCTGGGCTGGCGGGTCCCCAGGGTGAGTGGCCCAGCTAGTCTTGTTGCTCTGTGCTTGGTCAGCCCCCTTTTCCCGGCTCCTTTCTGTGGTGGAAGTGACTGTCCTGCCTGCAGGCTCCATGCATTGAGGCAAGGCTGCGACCTTCCTGCTCTGACCACCCCGGAGGCCAGGACTACTCCCCCAGCTCTGGCAGTCAATCCCGGGCAGAACTTGGAGATTTTAGTTCCCTAATTACCACGGAACATTGCTCCATGGTTTAAAACATTAATTAAAAACATTAATCAGTTTGGCTGCCTTGGACGGAGGTTCTTTTTCAGCAACAGCTGACTTTCAGGGTTGTTGCTGGCCCCCTTACGGGGAGGAGGGGGTGAGCTTGCAAAGCAGCGATTCAGCCACGTATGTGCTTGGTGGCGGGCAGCCTGCTCAGCCCCTCTGAGCTTCAGTTTCCACGTCTGTAAAATGGGCATGAGGGTCCTCCTCTGACCTGACCTCCTGGGGTCATCGTGGGTCTCAGTGAGGTACGGGAGGTCATTCCTCAGCAAAGTCCTGCTGAGGTCCCTGCCCGTGGCATTGGTGGGGGTCGGAAGTCTCCCCAGTGCTTTGCAGTTTCTAGAGCACACCTCGTGTGCAGGATCCCGTGGGTGCACCTGGGAGACAGCAGGGTTACAGTCTGCTCCACCTCGCAGATGAGCACGCTGAGAAATGAGGGCCACGCCAGGCCTGGAGTTGAGGACCCTGGACCCAAACCCCAAGCTTTAGTTCCATTCTCATCGGCTTTACTTGCGCCCCGTGGACTGAGCCCCTATGCTGACTCAGTCACTGGGAGGCACAAAGAGGGGAGATCTTTCCCCTCCTTATCGGGAGATTTGGGCGTTAAGGTCCCCACTTCTGCTTAAATGGTATGCATGATCGCAGGCATTTCTAAGCGCTGGTCCTGTGCCAGGGCACGTGCCCAGCTCTGCAAAGGTTCTTGCATAAGATCCAACCTTTACAATGAGAAATTGAGGCTCAGAGAGTAGCTTGCGCAGGCTCCTCAGAAGGCATTTCCAGGAGAACTGGGGTGCTAGTTCAGGCATCCTGACAGAGTCCCCGTCCTTCCTGCGGAAGCCGGGCTGCTACCCTTGGGCGTATAGAAGCCAATGCATTTCTACCCTAAGAAAATGGGCCTTTTCTTACGGGGCAGAATGCCCGAGAAGCGTGGGAGTTTGCCCACGGGGGTGCGTGGATGTGCACACTGTCAGCCCAGGGGACGTCTCCGAGTGGGGAATCCACCCTCTCCACTGGGAACGGGCGCTCGGAGGGAGGAGCTGCTCTGAGTCCGCTGGGACACTAACACGTCCACGGGAGGAGTGTGACAACCAGAGGGCCTCAGAGAAGCAAATTATGGCCAACTTTTCCTGGAGGAGGAGAGGGAATTGATGGTGGGGAATTCAAGCCACCTGGCCCCTGTCCTGGGGCAAGGACATTTCTCTGGCTATTTCCAGAACTGAGGGCAAATTCCCCCTCATAACTGGTCAGTCTTCTTTATTCAGGGTCTTTGTTCACTGAGTGCCACCTTCTTGGTGACTTGGCATCAAGGTGCTGTGGAGCTTGGGGGGTGGGGCAGGACTGAGGTCTGGATGGAGTGCTCCCTCGTGTTGTAGGTGTGGTTTCCTGGGGGCGCCGCACCAGCCCTTGAAGGAGAGGACGCCAGTGTCTGAGCTCACCCGCTGAGCATTTGGTGCCACTTTGGGGTATCCTAGGGGGTCCTCCCCGAGCTGGTGAGACCAGGGGTGGCCTCCTTGCCGCATCCCCCACACCGCCTCACCGTTTGGCCACCTCATGTAGCCGTCTCGGTGATCTGGTGAGGCTACACATTCCTTTGCTCCCTGAGTAATCATGATGTCCACTGATCGCATGTTACCAGATGACAGGGTGGAGCCCAGATAAAAGTTACACCAAAGTTAATCCGATACAGCCTCCCTGGTTTACATAATCCCTACCGGCTGTGGAATGCCGCAGGCAGGGGGCCGTTCTCAGAACGCAGTGATTAGATATGTTTCTGACTCCCTGTAGCCAGAATCCCTGGATCAGATGAATTCACGCTTTGGTGGGGAAGGGGAACAGGATGATGGGTGAGGGCGTGGGAGGCAGGAGACCTGACTGTCAGTGCTGGCCTAGCCGCTTACGCGATTTCTGAAACACGGAGCTATCGAAATTGGTCTCGTAGGATTCAGTGGCTTTATGTCTTCAAATATCTATCACAGTACTGGACACATCATAGTTGCTCAGTAAATACCAGAACTTTCTCTGCTTCTCATTTATGTAATGAAGTATCTCATGTGGACACTGACACTAATTCCTCTCTGTGCTTTTCTCATAGATTTGCAGAATCCCGTCACACCTGGGATTGAGGTGCCTTTGATCTGAAAAGAACACAAATCCATTCCACTCCCAGGGGACTCGAGCGCCGACCTTCCCTGTGCGTCAGCTGTGAGACTTCGAGATTTGGAGAATTGAGGTAAGGGGGTTTCTCCCCTTGAGGCTTATGGCCCGGAAATGGCTTTTGGAATTGGTGATGTCGTGCAATGCAGTTTGGGTTGCGGCTCTTGACTTCTCTGCCTGGCTCCCGGTGCTGCTCCACAGTGCTTGGGAAGGTGGCTTTCTGTCCCCTCATCCTGACACGCAGGTCTGCCCTTCGGTCGCCTGCACCTTGTGTCTCGGGAGCTTTCTCTCCTTCTGGCCGCAGAAGGAGCCCACCATCTCCCAGGTGGCGATTGCTGTGGCCAGGACTTCCAGTACTATGTTAAATAAGAGTGGCGAAAGTGGGCATCCTTGCCTTGTTCCTGTTCTTAAGGGAAATGCTTTTAATGTTTTCCCATTGAGTATGATGTTGCCTGAAGGTCTTTCATATACGGCCTTTATTATGTCGAGATATGATCCCTCTGTTCCCAGATTGCTGAGTGTTGTTATCAGAAATGGGTGCTGGATTTTGTCAAATGCTTTTTCAGCATCTATTGATCTGATTTCCTTCCTCCTGGTGGAAGAGGATGCCCTGGCCTCCTGTGGGGCCTGGAAGGTGCCGTTGGGGTTGGTGATTAGGTCAAAATGCCTTTGGGGGCATCTGGATGCCTCCCTCCCCTCCCCCCCTCCTTGAGGTGCCATCTCCGGGCAGACCCAGCCTCTCCTGGTTTGGCTCCTTGCCTCCTCCCCTTGGGCAGATCACTCAGCTTCTCCAAGCCTCTGCTTCCTCGTCTGTGAAACAGAGATCGCAAAGCGCTGGTCTCGGGAGGATGTTGTGGAGACGGTGGAGATAAAGGGCTGAGCACGCTGCCTAGCAGGGAGGAGGAGGAAATGCTCCAAAGTGAGAGCTACTTTTGAAAATGTATTAATGAACCATTTCGAGTCCTTCCTCACAGCAGGCCGTCTTGAAGCCCTGGTCTGCTCTCTCTCTCTTTTTTTAAGTGGTTTAAATGTTGCACTTTTCAGATCTTTACTGTTGAAAGTATTACAGATACCCTCCCTTCCCCCCACCCTGACCTCTCCTCCCTGCCCCCAGCCCCCCCAGCCTTCCCCACCCTGTGGTCTGTGTCCATTGGCTATGCACGTACGCATGTGAGTTCTCTGGCCTCCTCCTCCCTCTGCCTTTTACCTGCCCCCACAGCTGCTCCGGGGATGCTGGGAATCACCTGGCAGGTGGTGAGCAGACCCTCCCAGCGCAGAGGTGACAGCTCCCTCCTCTGGACGGCAGCCAGCGATTCCGGGCCTGCCTCAGTATTCCAGGGGGCGTCTCCCCTCCCCTTGCCGCACCCCAGCTGCTGGCGGGCGCCTTCCCACGGGGACTGCCCCACAGGCCCTGGCACCCCCGGCCTGGGCCTCCCGCTGTGCACGCTGTAAGAGCAGGTGAATGAGGCTCTGCAAAGCAGACAGTGAGAGGAGAAGAGAGTGCTCCGCCGAGAGAACCAGAGAAGAATGTTTTTAAAGCTTTAGAGTGATGAACGAGGTCAGTTGCAGTTTTTTTTTTTTTTTTTAGAGGAAATGTTGAAGAGAATAAATAAGGTGATGAACAAAAGAGAACGATTCTCGCCACCCACTTGAAAACTCTGCGGGGACGGACAGGTGGATGAGAAAGGTGGACCCGTGTGAAGCGGGGGTGGGGGTGGGGGCAGAACTGAGCGGCCGAGAGCTGTGCTGATGTGGTGTGTGTGTGTCCTCTTTTCTCTTGTGCCTGAAATTCCTCGGGTGCCTTGTGTTCCACAGTCAGGACACACGGGGTGGAGAGCATGCGGCCTCGCCCTTCCGTCGTGGTGGGGGGACCGGTGCACACACAGGACCCCCCAAATCCACCAGGTGTGTGGGAGGCCTGGAGAGGGGCCCCTGTGCCTCGAGGAGGCTCCCTGGAGAAGGTGCTGCCTCTTCAGATCCTCGGAGGGTGCATGTGAATAGGACCTCCGGGAGCCGAGCGGATTTGCCGTGGAGAAGCCGTTCCAGCCTGTGGCAGTGTGTGCACCTGTTCCCTGTCCGTGTGCGTTGCGTTATCTGGTCCCCACTTCTGGGCCGCACTCACTGCAGCGAGTGCAGCTGACAGGACTTCCATGGGGGGCTGCGTGCCGGGTTCGGCCACCCGGCACTCGGCTGGTCCCAGAGCGTGTTCTGGGAGTCCGTGCTCCGATCCAGGCCGTCGGCTTTGGGGGCAGGAGTGGATGCAGACCTGCAGCAGCCTTTCTATGATCACGCTCCCGAGGCACGGGGGGGGGGGGGGCTGCAAAAAGCTCTGCCCCTGAGTGGTCAGGGCAGATGGGGCTGCAGTCCCTGGGCGGAGCCTCTGGGAGCTGGAAGAACTGTCTCTCGGCGGCTGCCTAAGTGGCCTGCGTTCTGCGAATGAAGGAGAGGCTGGCAGGTCCGTGGGGTGACGGGAGAGGAATCTCCCTAGAATTCAGCTGCTGGGAGCAGGCAGAGCAGGGCTGGGTGCCAGGAGGCGGAGGTGCCCAGTCCTGAATGCATCCGGGCAGGGCTGGTCTGTGATGGGGGCTCTGACCCAGCATCTGTGCTTGTGCCTACGGTTCTCTTGTCCTCAGGGCACCCCTCTCCCACTGGGCACCTGCCTGCCTACTCCCTGCCTAGAGACCATCGTCGGGGCCTCATGCCAACAGGAGGGCACCTGCACTTCCCCATACATGAGCCTGGGCCATTCGACCCTTCCTGCTGTGGTGGCCTGGATTCCACCCTGGTCCACCTCCCACGCCCCATGACCCCGGGCGAGTCCTTTACTGCTTTGCAAGCTCCCCCTTCGCAGCTGCAGCGGGGACCTGTCTGCACGCTTCTATCTGCTGCGGCTCCGGATCCTGACCTCTCAATGGTGCTCTCTCATCCAGGCCCCTCCTTAGGCCACACACAAGCTTGGCTTCTCCCCTTTGACCCCCACCTTGCTTTTTCGACCCCTCTTCTGGAAGCAGCTCTTGGCTGCTGTCTGATATCCCAAACCGACCCCTTCTGGCCCTTGGTCAAAGGGCATCTGCCAGCTCCTGCTAGCTGTGGACTGGGGGCCAGCCCTGGCCGGTACTCAGTGACCATCTTACAGAAAAAGCCCATCCCATTCCGATCTCTACACTTGAAACGGAAACGTCTTTTTGATACGCCTCTGGTATTGGCTCATTGCTGTTTCTTGTGGTTTCATATTGAGGTTTTTGGCTCATTGCATTTGACCCGGAGTTTATTTTTAGTAGCGAAAGCAGCTCAATTAATGTCTAAACAGGAGAGCAAATGCAGAGGAGGGATACGTAAGTCTAGGGGAAATTGTACCTAATTTTGTTTCTTCTGATAAAATCTGTCACACCAGCGGACACCGAGCTTCCTCGGCGGTGCCACTATGGCCTTCTGCAGAAGCAGAGAGGGTGGCCGGGCCACCCCCGGAAATGAAAGCATTTCTGGGTTTACTTCTGTCCCGCTCGTCCAGCACGCTGAATGAGCAGCACAGTTATTATGGGTGATTGTTCTTATAATTAACGTAAGAGCAAAGGCTGGACTTGGGAAACTTCAGCTCCCGGGGGTGTGTCATTCTGTCTCAGAAGCACATCCGACTTCTCCCTGGACTGGAAATATCCTGAGGGAAGGCTCTGGGTTTTTACTCGCTCTCCCCCCAGCCTTGGGCAGCATGATGGGCACCCGGGACATGCTTGGGGAAGGCTTCCCGGGATGGACTGGACTCCAGGACCCCGGGCTTGGACTAGCAAGGCCAAAACAATTCAGAAAGAACGTCAAGGCCTCCTCAGTCTGCTCTGGGCAAAATGTAAGCACTGCTGTCTGCTCAGGACTTTCCAGTTTATAAAGTTCTTTCTCCTCCTTTCTCCTTCCTCTGGTTGCACGACTTTCCCGAGACCCTGCAGCGTGCTGGAACGAAGCAGAGAAAAGCCACCGTTCTTGCTCGGAAGGAAATCCCGAGACAGATTGCTCTGTGGCTCCTGGCGTATGCGGGTGTGTGTCTCCTGCAAACTCACATGCTGAAACCCTCCTCCTCAGTGTGATGGTGTCAGGAGGGGGGGCCTCTGGGCGGGGCCGAGGTCCAGCTCGCGAGACCCCAGCCCCCATGATGGCATTGGTGCCCTTATAAGAAGGGCCACAAGAGCAGCTTCTCTCGGATCTCCACGCTGAGGGCACACCCGAAGACAGCTTTCTGCAAACCTGGGATGAATCTGCCGGCACCTCAGTCTCGAACGTCCGGCCTGCAGAACTGTGAGAAAGAAATGACTTCTTTAAGCTGCCCAGTCTCCGGTATCTCATTACAGTAGCCTGAGCGGAGACGCCATGCTACACAGATGAAAGGGTTGGAGACTCGGAGAGGTGGCATGAACGAGATCACCCTGCTAGCTGGTGCTGGAGCTCATGTTCCAACAGGCATCTCCTGCACCCGGGCACCCGTACCTGCACCCCACCCACCCTTATCACAGGCGTGTCTGGACTCTTCTGGATACTCCTCCCTTCTCCATCTACCCCTCCCCCTTCTCCTCTCTTCCCTGCCACCTCCTTCTCCCTCTCCCAGCTCTGTTTTTTCTGAAAACGAGGATCTTTCCGTGCCCACTGCCTTCTGGGGGATGAGGTCGGATGATGACGGGCCGTGCTCCCCGGTCTGAGGCGGCGGGTGGTCTGTCGCAGTCCACCTCCCCAGGCCTCCCCAGGTTCCAGGAATCCGTCATCCCCGTTCATTTCCTCGCTCGTGTGTCTGCTGCCGGCTGCCCATTTGCCTCCTGCAGTGGCGAAGCGGTGGGATCTGAGCAGCTCCTCTCGGGCCACGGGTCAGGCGTGTCCTCCGGCACTGGTGGGGGACCGCACAGTGAGGGACGCCGTGCCGATGCTGCCAGCAGTGGTGACACGAGTTGTGCTCGCTCACAGGCGTCATCCAGGGCCCCCAGCACCTTCCGGATCGCCTCCCATGTGCTCTTCAGAGCGGGCGAGGGGACGAGATTGGCCTCGGTGCCCACAGTGGCAAAGGGGGGCCTGCTCCGGGACGCATGTGACGCGAAA